CTTTGTTCTCTTCTTCAAAAAGTTTTCATTATCTATATGTAAAACAAAAAAAACGCAAGGTGATTTTGCTGAAAATGACTTTATGATCTGTTGTCCACACTCAGTAGGAGGCCACTGCTGTTTTCTTTGGGAGTTTTTTGACCATATGAAGTAACCCTGGCTGTTTACAAGTGTTGTTTACTGCCATACGGAGAGGTGGAAAACAGAGAACTAGGTTTCAGAAACAGCTGGCAGCAGGTTGTTGGGCCCTCTGGCTCTGACATAATGATAAAAAGATGTCCTCTGAGTGTTGCAGTGTTTTGGGTCATAGCCTGTAATGAGACCTTGGTATAACAATGAGGCCTAGTGTGTTATATGGAGCCAAAGAGTTTGAATGAGAATGAAACTGGATTCAGGTTGTGGCACCTTTTGTCTGACCAGTAAAGTGGTGTTTGTTTATTTTAACAACATTGGACAGACTTTGGCTGATCATTCAGCCTGGTGTTTGCTGTCTTTACGGCATCATTGTACTCTGTGATTATAGACTTGTGTCTTCTGCTTCTGTTGATTTTATGGTTTGTACCAGCTCTCCTTATGCTCACAGCTTATTTCACAACAGGGAATCCCACACTGATCATCAAATGTTTATGCTGTACATTTTAATGGTGCCATTTAATATTAGAGTGGCGTGAAGGCCCTGAAATTGGAGTTAAAACAGAATAAACAGAATATCATGTTGTACCAAGACGTACACTTTATAAGTTGTCCAACATTGGTATAGTACATTTACAGTTAATTGTAAAAATGATAAAACTTCCCTGCTTTCTTTAAATGATCAAGTGGCTGTGAACTTATGATGAAGTTATGCAAGAATCTTTTTTGCTTCAGTATTTCCTGGTTCACCTTTAGTCAGTAAGAGAAGTAATAGGATATATTTCAGTGTGTATGGATCCATCTCTGCCTTACTCACCTTTGCAGACCATCTCAGACCCACCGTTTATTGCATTTCGCTGAAGTGTGTGTGATTGCAGCCAGTGACGTAGCTGTTGCTGAACATGTCTCGTACTGAGAAGGAGAAAAGGCTTTTTTAAAGAATGTCTTTGTTGTTAAAAGTGAAATGTTCATAGTTGATGAGTGTGCTGCTCTGGAGGAGCGAAAACCCATCAGCTAGCCGAGGAATAAGGAATAAGGGAAAACATCTCTTCGAAATGGATTCGTGCCGCTTTTCTCTCGACTGAATTTGTTTTTGTTTATTGAGCCATTTATTAAGCTGAGCACGAAACGTAGGCAGTTTTTGTGGCAAGGAAGCAAAAATGCAGACAAACATCTCTGTGTTGGCTCTGAAAGCACCAGTAAGATGAAATGGCTAGAACAGCCTGAACAAAGTATTAAATGAATAAATGCATTGGAACCAAGTCATTCAATCTGTCTGCGTTATGAAATTCTAGTTCCATTCATCTCTTGTTCTCCTGTGTCTGGCGATAGTTGATATTGCTGTACATATCCAACTGAGGGAAATCATGGACACTGAAACTAAAAGTTTATACCATGTACGGTACAGCATTCTACTTACTTTTTAAAATCATTAAACACAGGGTCATATGACGCTGAGACAATCGTATCATTACGGTAGTTTTATGTAGAAAAGGTTACATTTTGGAAAGAAGGTTTCAGTAGCTGTGCGTACCTCTTTCTCTGAGGCTTCCTTTATATATTTGCCTGGTTGGCACAAGTGCAAAACAGATTATGTAGCACTTCACATCATCATCATCATCATTGCAATTAAAGAAAACCTAAATTGGGAGCAACTAGATTTATTACTTAATGAGAACAGTATTTCTGGTGGTGGTTATAAGATGTCTGTCATAAGAGGTGTACACTATGAATGGGTATAGACAATGTATATATGGAGTGTTGACTTTAGATTATCAGTAGCTATTCTTTTCTTTTATTCTGTGCCTTCCTCTGTTTCATGTGCAGCTCTACTGCTTCTGTGGACAGTTTTTTAGACAATGAAAGCTTTCCTGTCTCTGCTCTCTGAGTACTACTTCTTTCAATTTTAATTTATGCTCTCATTGTCTAGTTAATGGACTATCTAGGTGGTTTTACATGATTTAGCCCATTAACTTCACAGATTTTACACATTACATTGGTGCTGGCCATTTTCATAAGTATAAAAATGAATAAAGATATGCTTTAAAAATGGTGAACAGAAGAGATAGTTGCAACTGTAGGACATGCACAAAAGCACACAGTTATTAAGAGAGGATTCTTCATCCTGGATAACTAGAGTCTTCATCATCATTAACTAGGGGTCATCAGTATCATTGCATTTTAAGAATTACTGTATGATAAAATGTGGTCATTTTCTTTCTGTAGAGGCTGTTGAATCTACTTCTGTTAGTTTTACCATTTCTCAAACTGAATTTGACTTGTTTGTACATTATCTGTTGAGGCTGCTGCAGAAAAATTAATATACTTTACCTCTGCTGTCTGGGATTTTTCCTCCCTGTGTTGCTGTTGACCATCTATGCTCTCTGACTGTGACGGACGTTTCCTGACGATGTATATAAATAGCTGGACGTATGAAATGCTTTCAGTAAAATAGCACAAAATAACAAACACATTTGAGGGGGTTCAGTGTCTTGTCCAAGGACACTTCATCCAGGACATTAACCTGCATTAAGATCTGTCTGTGCTGGAGCTGATATTGTATGTAAGTGTCTTATTAGCTGTTGTGTTTGTAGTCTGCAGACTAAGGCTTTGGGACTGAGAAGTGCTCTCAAATTACCAGGCTGGTCATTAGTTGTGGCAGTCACTTGTATTCAGTCATTATATTGAGTAAGTAATTTTAAATAAGCATGACAAATGTGTGTCAAACTTAAATATATCTACACCTATAGGCCCAGGTTGATGTCATGCAAAGTGATCGTTACACCGTGCTGACCCATTCAAGCCTGAAATACTGCTGTCTGTCAGCCAGCTGCCATTAATTTCACTTTTTCTTCAGACACATCTGTCTTCATAATAGTTGATTCATTACCTTCAGTGGGTGCCACAGATTTATGCTTTGGCTCGGCTTGAGTTTAGGCTGCATTTTGCCAAGAAGACAGCTGGTATGACCTTAGTATATAGACACATGGGCATCATCATAATTCAGCAGAGTTAAAGGCTATTATTTTCTCTCTCATACCCACAGATACTCCAGCTGTTCATATGTACTGTACATCTTGGAAACAGCTGACTCTTCCTGTGTCCAAACTTCCCTTGTTCCCTAATTCGTGAGTTCAAACATGTGTAGGAAACAGTCTGTAGTGTACGGCTGAATACTTTTGGAAACCTTAGGTCACTGCACGAAAGACTAATTTAGAGCAATGGTTGCCCAAAATGGCTTGTCACGGTTACGTTTATAAATATGTCTTATTATATACAAACAGCTTACATTTATGTTAAAGTTTATGTTCTCTAAGTTGGGGTGGGACTTATACATTAATATAGTCAGGCCGTTCTTAGTCAAGAGTTTGTAATTTGTTATGGCAAACGACCAATATTAATTATTGAAACTTAAGATGTTGGCGGATCACCACAGTTATTACAGTTCCGCTTGCGGGGAAGATGAACAGCTGAACCGTATTTAATTACAATCCATCCAAAACCTGTGAAAATAAGACCACAAATGTTGACCTCATGGCAGTGCTAAAGGACAAGTCATAAAAACCTGTATGATTCATCCACTGGAGAGTGTGAATGTTTGTACAAATGTTCATACTGTAGTAATTGACTCAATCATTATTGGAGATATTTCAGTCTGGACTAAAGTGTTGGGCTGACTGACAGACCAACACTCCCCGATAGAGTCATACCACGGAGAGAATGTCCTGTGAACCTAGACTCAATATAGCGTTTTCTTCCAAATCAAAACCTAAATGCCAAAAAAGTTCATCCACTTTCAGCGATGGATTGGTGAATTGAAGTTTGTCACAGCTTTTGAAGTTTATTATTAACATGCTTGATTTTTTTTTTATATCAAGTTATGCTGCTGAAATATGTTTTGTGTTGAAAGTTTCTTCCTAGCACAAGGGTAGTCGCCCTGAACCTGAGTCTTTTCATGCCCTCTTTTTTTTTTCTTCTACATGCCCAAAGCTGAACTAATATCTTATTCTGTGTTCTCACAGAGATGTGTTTGTAAGTGCGTGTCTGTCTGTAGGTAGTCTGTTCGATGGGAGGGTAAGGTCCCTCTTTGAATCCCTGCAGGCTGCTCTTCAGATGAGCAAGCACGCTAGTGACTGCCTCTGAGATCACACGCCACTCAAACTGTGCAGTCAGACCTCAGAGTGTCAGAGACTGGGGATAATGGGAAGAAATGGATGAAGAGAATAAGTTTGCAGGTGTGGAGGAGGAGTGATGGGGAACTGATGGAATTGGAGCTACAGTAGCTGAGCTGCTGCCACTGGTTGGTGCTCCGGATAGCGAAAGTATCTGGAGGTTTTGTTGTACTGTGGATTGGTCCACCGGTTCATCAGCTCACCCTGTCTTTGAGAGGGTTCATGAGATTTTGCCAGCCCTTGGGGAATGGTGCATCTCAACAGCCTTTCAAAATTACACATCAAGGGAAAAATTGCAATTGCAAGTAGTCTGCACTTGTGTGCAGTCAGAAATCCAGCTCTACTGACTTTATATTCACTATGAAATAAAAAAAAAAAAGTAGGACAATAAATGCTCATGTTTAAGAAGCTGAAACTAGTAAATGTCCAAAATTTGTACTCACTGACAACCTCTGACAGCATCACGTGGAGTAAGGGGCATTTTACTGTTATTTCCTTGGTTTCTTTGTATTTGCCTGCTCTTATTATTGGATCTTAAAGGAAGGGGTTCTCACTAGAACACCTATCATTCCTGTGAACACTCTCAAATTGATGTAAGCTGTATTTTGATTGTTTGCCCTTTCTGGAGCTAGGTGATCCTTTCTGCCATACACAGATATTGTAATATTCACACCTTCTTTCTTTCCCTTTCTGCAGAGTGTGTTCACTCTTCTGTTGGGGCCTTTTACCTTCTTCAGTGCCCAGAAGACTAAATATCTTCAGATTCTCACCTCAGTTATGCGCTGGATTGGTAAGAATAAACAAATCTCACTAACATATTCAGTTGAAGTTTTTTTGTCTTTGCCTCTCACCCTTCTCTTCCTTTTTTCTAATTGCCTTTGCTTTCTTCCAGCCTTAACTTTCTGTCTTCCCCCCCCCATTTCATTTATCCCTCCCTCCCTCTTGCCTTCACCTGTGCGGCTGTGGCGCTCTGGGCTGCCCATCATGGCTCGGTCCTGCTCTTTGTCTTTCCCATCTCCTCTCATTCCGCAGCCTGACAGGCTTGACAGTCTATCCCAAGCTTGATTGGACCGTCACTCAACAGGGTGACAGACAAAAATAAACCACCCACCTGGGGTTCGCGGTTAAAATCATACACCACCACTGAGTCATGGTCAGGGCTCTTTACAGCACATGAGAATGATTCAAAACGACTCCAGTGGATGCTCTGTGTTCATGTGTTTGAGCAAAAACATGAGGAAACGAGTTCCGGCAGCCAGTTTTGTTTTTTTTATGTTTTAAAATCAGAAAATCATAATGAATGTTTTTCTTCCTGGTTTACCTTAGTCTGTCACAAGATGTTGACCACAAAATTTACATAGAATTAGCCAAGCCCATAATTTCTCTCAGTAAAATACAGTGTATATTGCTGAGGTACTGCATTTAGCAAGATCACCAGTGATTTCAGAGGAAATTCAAATAACATGCAAAACGCCACTGAATTTGAGCAGACTTTTCTTTTGCTGTGAACACAGGACTAGGTCTAGAATTAAGGTAATAATTCTGTACATAGCCTGAGACCAGGCAGACTGCTCATCTTTCCAGCTGGGTTCCGAAGGGAAGCAGGGTTCACAAATGTCACAAGAATATAAGACTCCAGCACACATACACCATGAAATCTTTTATTTTATTTTATTTTATTTTTTTAAATTTTATTTATTAACTTACACATGTAATTGCAACCTGCAGTTACTCACCATTCTGGTTCCTCCTGCAGTCACCTGTGCTGCCCTGTGTTGGGGACAGTGGGCTTGATGTCAGGGTTAGCAGCCAGCTGGTGCACTGGAGCCCTACCTCCCATCCTCCTGTCGTGGCCGTTGCTGCTAAACTCTAGTCACCTCTTTATCCTGTGAGCCTTGCTTTGCACACCAAACATGAGTGATGGCGTGACTGCCTGCTGCTGTGCTACCTGTGACGTGCTGTGATTTTCAGCTGTGGAGCCAGTGTGCTACCTGTGACGTGCTGTGATTTTTAGCTGTGGAGCCAATAGCCCAGATCAGTGTGACACCTTTTGTACAAAGCAGTGCTCCTGACTGTGCTCATTTTACTTCTTTTCCCAGATGTGCCGCATAATTGTTCCTAAATGAAAGTGTAAAGGGCAGCATTCTATAGACTGTAATGCTTACATTTATTGTCCACAGTGGTGAAAACATCATAATGCTAAGTAAAACTAAACCACTTTAGAAAAGCTGTGAGATCAGAACAGGGTCTGTCATCTTTTCACATATGGAAACACATCACCATAACCCTCTGTGGTTCAGTGGCTCTTACCCCCCTCATCGCTGTGTCCCTCCACTAACTATGGTTGGTTTGGCCCTGCGGCTCCGCCACCCGGTTTCCGTTTATCATCCTGTATATCCTATTAACTTCCTTAAATACTAAGGCAGCAGCAGTTAAAGTTTCGTGTAAATTAAAACAGCACTAAAATGGGCAATATAAATACAAATTGAATGTGTAGTGTCTTCAACATATAACTTTCCCTGCACATTTATAATGATAAGTAATGTTACAAAATGCTGTAGTCAGCCTCTTAATTTTCTGCCTTGTGCCTGCTGTCAGCATGAGGTATCATTATCAGCTCTCCACAAGAACACCTCCACAACACTGAGAGTAGTAGAGAGCTTCTCTAATTGATACTGTGAGGAAGAGAAGAAGTTAACCTCCTCTTCCCTCTGTCTTAGAGTATTGATCACTGCTGTCTAAGTCTGCTGTGATATGGCAGTACCTGCTTAGAGCCTCAGCGGTTGTTTTTTTTTGTCACTTTTAACTGTTGAGTTGGTGAGAGATGGATCAACTGCCACATTTATATCACAGGAAACCCACCAGAGATTTTTGTCTGGTGTTCCTTATTGAAACAGTCATCTTAGGACTGGTTTTGATTTTATTTCCTGAATGAAACTATATTTTTCTTCCAAAAACAGCTTGTGCAAGCTTTTTATTTATAAGACCTTACATTTTCTGCCAAACAGTTTTTACATACTGACGTTGTAAATACTGTGCCAATAAAAAATAGATTTAAAGTTTTCATTTCAGACACTTTTGCTTTGACATTAAAGAAACTTTTTCTATCGATGGGTGTGAAACAAAAAAACAAAACAAAACAACCACATTACACTAAATCTACTTGGTTCAGTATTTAGGAAACCTTTCCTTTTGCTTGCCTTTATATAAACGTAAGGTTTACTTTCCCATAATAAAATACAGACTCTTTAAAATTATATTTGGGTTTACACAAAAATTTTATGGGCAACAAAATTTTGCATCATTGCATGTTCAGAGTAACCCTGACTGTGATAATATTTATGTGAAAGGCAGTAAACTATACTGCTTCCCTTCTTTAGTACTGAGAAAAGAATAACTGTAACCCAGCGACTCATAGCTTTTGAGTGATCATTTATAACATTCTTAGTTTACTAAAACATTGTATAAGCAGCTAAGGAAGCACCTGCAGGGATTTTCGCAGCGGCCCAGTGCCATTTTAAACGGATGAGGGATGGATATAATGTTTTGAAAAGGTCAGCGAGACTTTGGTGGCTGGCAGAGCTCAGTTTGTCCAGAGCATGCGGCTCACAGGATGATGGTGGCATATGACTGACTCTTAATGAAATGTCCAGCAGCGCCACAGTTCAGAGATCCGGAAAAATTACATTTTAGGGGATAAAAACACCATTCATTTTCTGTCTTTCATGACACTCCTGTTGTCAGCTGAAGACTAAAGCATCAGACTTTTGTTTTTTGTTTTTTTCTCTCGAGTGTGGCTAAATATCGACTTGATCATGCACACTGACTTCCAGGTTTTTTTTTTTTTTAGTAACTTTGTTTTACTT